GTTCACAGATGCTGCAAGATTCATAACTGAGGTAACTAACACTGCAACCTTAAATAAAACTTATATATTTCCACTATATGAATTCATAAAATATTATTCATTGCATTAATACAACTACCCAATACGACGCAGTCAAAACTGGCTCCACCTTGACCAGCTAGCTACACCAAAGTACTACTACTCATTGCATTTTAATGCATCAATAATGACCCAATCATATTATAATAAAACACTTCATAGTGAGTACTTTTGCTTTTGATACTTTAAGTATACTGTTGCTAATATTTGTGTACTGTACGACATAATTTCAATGTGGGAAAATCCTGCACAGGGGCAGTCCCCATACAACAGATCAACCTACCGCTACACCCCTCTCCTTGCCTGGCTGCTCACCCCTAACATCTATCTCAGCAACGTGTTTGGCAAGATCCTCTTCATTGTTTGTGATGTGCTGTCAGGTCTGCTCATCTACAGAATCCTCCGCCTGAGAGGTCTGGGCCCTGAGGTATGTTTTAAGACAATCTGCTCCTTATGGACCAGAAGTCCTCTATCAGCAGAGTTTATTAATAATTGCTGACTATAGCTGCATACCTCGTTTGTTTTGTCCTGTAAAACAACAGAGTTTAAAGGTGTCTTGGTAATGCAAATAACATTGTGTTTTGGGGGGATTTATGTTCAGACTGCATGTCGTGTTTGTTCTCTGTGGCTCCTGAACCCACTGCCCATGGGAGTATCCAGCCGAGGGAATGCTGAGTCAATCTTGGCAGCCCTGGTGCTGGGAACGTTACTCTGTATGGAAGGTAAGGGTCTGTTTGTGTGTGTGTGTGTATTGTGACATTTCTGTAAAATAATGTGTATTTTGCTTATTTTGTAATTGAATGTTAGAGACACACACAGCTCCTCTGCTAATACTTTGACCTGTTTCCCCTCTAGCCCAGTGTCTGATGTGGGCAGCCATACTGTATGGTCTGTCTGTCCATATGAAGATCTACCCCATTACATATGCTCTGCCCATCGTTCTGACCCTGCGCACACTAGAGACCGGATCAGAAGAGGACAAAAAGGGGTGGAGGAGGCTCATTGGGTTTATGGGAAGTTTCCTCAACCGAAGGTTGTTCCTTTTTGCAGGTGTTGCCGGAGGAGTCTTCTGTATGCTCACAGCACTCTTCTATTACATGTGAGGTGAACAAAGAAATAACACAAACACATAGTAAAATGTTTTCATTGCCTGTGATGTTTGCAGTTACTGTTTAACCCTACACAGCTAGTTTTGAGCATGGAGTAACATTTCCCCAAACAGCACACATGTCCTGGTTCTGTTGTCCCTTACCTGATAAAACACACAAACGTTAAATGATGTTGAACAGAAATGCTCAAATCATGTGACTCCTCTCCTGTATCGTCAGGTATGGTTGGGAGTTTCTTCATGAAACCTACTTGTACCATCTGACCAGAAGGGACATCAGACACAACTTCTCTCCATACTTCTATATGCTCTACCTCACAGCAGGTATTTAACCATTCAGTCATTTGTAGCCTCGTAGTGTGACACCTTGCTGCAGACAGAACTACACAGCAAAGACCAGCATAAAGTTCTAGCTCATGTGAAGAAGTACACTGCTTCTGGTCAGCAGCGATGAAGTGCTTATTGATTAAACTTACAGGAGGGGAGGCCACTTTTAAAGCCTGGTCAAGATTCTTTTGTCTTTTATTGGTGCAGACAGCAGGTGGAGCCAGTGGCTTGGCCTAGCAGCATTCCTGCCACAGCTCATCCTGCTGTTGGTAGCATCATGGGCCTTTCACTCTGACCTGGCCTTCTGCTGTTTCCTGCACACCGCCATCTTTGTCTCTTTCAACAAAGTCTGCACTTCACAGGTACATAAACCAGCATCAACAAACAGAGTCTAAGTAGAGATTAGATGATGCATTATCAGCTGCAATTCAAGAGCTCAAGAGAATATTAGGCCCATCTTTCACCCCTCTGTTTTTTCAGTTTCCCCTGTCAATCATCCAAATTACTTTCAGGATTGAGAAGAGCTCTAAAAACAAACAGTTTTGTTGAATAGGATCCAAATTAAGAAGAAATGTATTTATGTTGTTTACATCATCATTTGAATACCCCACCCACATTCTGACAGCTGGTTTTGAGTATTAGAACTGACTCACACCCATGAGATGTTCATTTGTTTTGGCCTCCAGCTTATCCTGCAGCCACACATAAGGTGAATTTTAACATAGTGTAAAATACCATGTGTATAATAATATTGTCTAGCTTTAGCTCACACACGTCACACAGCCTTTAACAATGTTGCTTGTTATCCTTTCATAGTACTTCCTGTGGTACCTATGTCTTCTTCCTCTGGTCATCCCTCACCTGAGTCTGTCACTAAAACAGGGAGTGGGACTGCTGCTCCTCTGGTTTGCTGGACAGGTAATTAAATTGATCACATTTTGAGTTACAGTGACTTCAAATATGCACCGTGTTAACAAAATGTTAATATCATAACAAAATGGCATTAATTATACAGGATATAAAATAGAATGGGTTTTTGGGGGTTGATGCCGATATTACTAGTATTTTTCCTTACACATAATCTGCCTTAATAACTACATTCACTGTAGCATATTCACATCTAGTTTATCCCTGTACTAGCACTCTTTAATAATATCCAAAGCTACGAGAAACCATCTCTCAGCAACCAGCTGGCTCTAAAACATGCCATCTACGACAACGTTACAGTGACTTGCTGACGAATGCATCTAATACTACATGACTGTCTACAAGGAGGACTTGCATCTTTGAGATTTCATTTAACTAACATTATAACTATAACCAGAGCCGTCACGGCTCTGACTACGTTTCACATCTACAACGTCACACAAAGAGGAGCAAACGTTAGATAACTTTGTCTGGCAAGAAGCCGTGTTAGATTCTTGTTCAGCTCATGTTTATTTACATGTCTGCTCTGGTTTAATAATTTCAGACACGCTGACTAACTGTAGACAGGTGGTTAAACTCTTGTTTACGGTTTATTAACGTTAGCGCTCCTCCACTAATAAACACAGCATTAGCTTTGTGGCTAATTTAGCAACGGGCAGCATTAGCTGCTGTAATGTTACGTGATTTCAAAAAATATTTAGAAGTTATTAACTAGGGACAAATGATGACTGTTTGCTAAAACTGGAGGAAGCCAGGAGAGGGCATGAGAAACAGGAGGGTTAGCAAGTCATGAATGTTTTTAAGTTATGTAATTAACATCACAAAGGACTGACTCACCGCTAACATATATTGGCCGGCCGATATATCAGTCGGGCTCTAATTTAAAATGGTGCATGTTAAGTAGTAGATGCATTGTAGCCTTTGAGTCACTGTTGAGTGCTGTTAATGGTCTTTTGTTAACCTTATATTTAAACAGTAGACTAACTGAACTTGTTTTGCGATCCTTTGGATGAAGTAACTATAACTAACCTTTTTTTTCTCTACTGTCAGGGCATCTGGTTGGGCCCAGCCTACTTCCTGGAGTTTGAAGGCTACAACACCTTCTTGTTGATCTGGCTTGCGGGATTGCTTTTCTTGATCATCAACTCGTCCATCTTGATTCAGATCGTATCCCATTACAAACCAGCACAAACTCCAAAGAGACTGAAGGTGGAATAACATTCAGTCATTGTAGAGATAGACGGAAGAAGATAATGGACTATGAATGTATGTTGAAGAATAAATTGTTTTTGTTAAATATCAGTCTCCCTAGTACTTAATTGCGTTCTTATTTAACCAGAAAGCAGATTTATACGGTATCATTTTCTGAGTGACAAAGTCACATCAGAAATCAGAATTTTCAGTTGAATTCAATACTTATCCAGTATGTTGAAAGTTAGTTTGTTAACATCTGTTCATACAGGAATCCAATAATGTAAAATGTTTGAGTGTTTGGAAAATGAGTAGTTTAAATTGCTTGTTGATTTTGCTGTCTTTTGTTGCCCTTCACAGTTGGTCAAAGTCATAACAAATGTACCATAATCTGTGATATACAGACAGATATTCAACTCTGTCCAATAATGAATACAATGAAATGGAAACTAAAAGCATACCTGCGAACAACTCTAATAATATTGTGTATTTCGCTACAGTGGAACTAATACTGAATACCTTAACTAGAATGTGATTATAGAGCAGGATATTATCTACTGTTCAGCAAGCAGAAGCTCCAGAAGCATACTGTTCTCTAGAAGCTGCTGTCAGCTTTAGCCACGATTCCAAAGTACATGCCATGAGACATGATTTAAAAGGACCTGACTCTTCCTTCAAAACAATTATTGCTGTAAGCAGATGAATCAGTCAACTGGAGCATGAACGCAACCCAATACAAACAGTGCTGGCAGTGGCTCCATAATCTCACTTTACTCCCCCTAATCTCACATGGAAACTATTAGAGCATTCACTTTAGTCCTGTAGGTTCTGAGCATGATTACAAGCACTTTTCCACAGGATTGATTGTGTCTGTAATATTAATAACATGTATGTATGTGTGGCGAGGATGCGGGATGCATGTGTTTGTGCCAAAAACTTGAGAGAGACAGTAGTTATGGTTGAGTGGCTTTCCTGAGACATTTCTATATAGCAGTTTGTGTCTCTGTAAGTGAACAAGCTTGATTGTGTGTTGTGCATGTGTGTATGACTCAGGGTCAGCTGTGCCCTGCTTATCTAGTTTGTGAATCACCAGGTAATGCTCAGTAACCTTTCAACTGGCTAGTTGCCCCTGGGCACATATATCATTTAATTTTAACACTGCATCCTACTGAATGCCATCACATTCAGCATTTTACTTTAAAATCTCTGGGACTGAATAATACCTATGAATGTTGTTTCTTCTTCAGTTCATTCCTTTAACTTTATTTTAGATCAGTTATTACCAGCCAGGGATACCAGGAAGTATCTCTATAGTTGCTCAGGTTATTTGTACCATTTTTATTTCTATAGTGGTTTTGTGGCACTGAGCTCACTCCTGGGTTCAGGGGTCTTCTCACTGCATTGTCTTGGTGTTTTGGTTGACGAAGTACACTCGGTCATTGGAGTCCACACGCCTCTCTGAAGATGATAAAAGCACCGACAGGAATCTGTAGCTCAATAGACAGAATGGACAGTTGGCCCCACAGTGTGGCAACACATCAGTCAGATTATCACCAGCACTGACTCATGCTATAAACAGACTTATTCAACTAACTGTCATCTGTGATCTTTGTGAACAGCGAGTAATGACAGCAGAAGGAAGGAGGACCTCCTTATGCCCGCATAAATGGAATAAAGGGGGGTGGTTTGAAAACACTGTGCCTTGTTTTATTTATTTTTTCTTAAATTCCTTGTTGCAATACAGTTTGTGTTGAATTCCCCCAGAACGGCCAGTAGAGAAAGCTGCTGCCTGTGGAACTGTCAAAGTGACACATGTGTTTGTTAATTATAATCAACTGCTCTGGAAGTTGCTGCAAGTGTGATATACTAAATACAGTATGAAGAGTTTGCCACACATACATAACATATAAGCTCTGTATACTCAGTCTAGTTGTGTAGAGAAAGCTCACAAATCTATTCCCCTGCCTCTGCTCCTTTATCGGTATCCACTGTGGATGAAGACCCAGCTTCATGGTCAATCTCAACATGAAATTTGATGGAAATCTAATATTGATAGAAAGACAAACTAGTCATTTAGCAAATGTAATTCATGACTGATTGATTTCATTCAGTCCTTACTGACCATTAAATAAAGATGAAGGAAATGAAGGAAAGAGGGTAGAACATCTGTTTTATAATCATCACTGGCTTAATATCGTTCTGTGTGTTAAAATACTGTGTGCTCTGCAGCATATTTTAAGCATATTGTGCAGTACTGTATTTTGTATACTAATGATCCGATTACTCTGAGTAGCTGCAAGAAAGGGAAACATTAAGTTAACAAAAGAGACCCCATATTTGACATAAAATGCTGGTAAATATTACACTTCCAAATTGGGCATGTATTATAATATATGCCAATTCAGTACGCTATCAAGAACTATTCTTGAGTTTATTTTGGGTTTCTGTCCCTACTGGTCAAAAATCACTTAAAGCTTTACGTTTCAGATCAAAGCATTTCTCATTACAAATTAATTTAATTTTAACATTTTTCAAATTTCAGATCAGAAGTTCCACTACACAGACTCAACATTTGTGTACTTTCTAAAGACATACTGATTTATGTAAAAAAACAACATAAACGTTTATTCAATGACACCATCTTCACTGGAGCTAAACAATTTATGATCAGTAAGGAGTGGGTGCAGATACTGTATGCACATAGGCCTATACCCGAAATGAAAGGATCTTGCAAGCTGGAAGGTACTGCGTGGCGTTTGGGGTGACGAATTCACCCATAGATGAAAACATTTTCTCCTTGCTTTGGGTTACAAACATGATTTTTTTTTATTATATATTTTAAGTAGCCTAATCATAAGTGATGCCCTTTCCTCTCAGATTTCTACTATTTCCTAAAGTTAGATTTGTTTATTTGTTAAAAGGGAGTAAATGTACTTTTGTCTGTTCGGCTTCCCTAGAATGAAAATGCGGAAGCTCATCTGAGGATTTCGGCGCGTGTCAGTTTGTAAATAATAAAGCTGAAGCTTCAAGCAAAAGTCTTCCAGTGAAGGTAAGACTCCTGATCATTTGAGGACCAGAAGAAAAGTGTCTGTCAGTAAGTACAGAGTCTCATTCCGTTAGTGACAATGAGATATGATTATTTAGTTTGTAGGCGCTGTTGTTGTGTTCCATCCTCCATCATTAAGTTTTTACTACTTTACCACTAGGTGGCACTGTCGTAGAATTGAGATGGTTACTACTGTACAATACAATGAACACTTCTTTTTTTCGTGTGAATACCTTTTTATATACAGTCTATGGTGAATACAAAGATGTAAGAGCAGTAACTTGATTCAGGCTATTAGCTTATTGGTTCTTAAATTAATTTTAAATTACAGGTTAAACGGTAGGCTCAATCTGCTGGTAATTACACACCACCAAGGGTGCAGTATAATTTCAATAAAACCATAAATTAATAATGATAACAACTACTACTTTGTTATTACTAATACTGTTAGGGTAGGTAAACCAAAACAATATTGAATTAACCCTTCTTGGTATATTTAATGTTTCCTGCACTGAGTCTTAACGTTTAGAAATTGTGTTAATTATCGTTGAGACAATCGTTGTAATTGTAAATTAACTTCTGTGGCCCAACATGAGAGTGAGAAACTAATCAGATGAAGAAATAAAAGCATTATTTTAGGTTTGTAATGTAATAACTAATGCTCTGGCCTCTCTTCTTTTTAGACACAATGGCATCACCAACTCCTCTATCCAAGGCCAACACCTCTTTCTCTCTGGCTTTGCTCAACAAGCTGGGTGATGACGACAAGACTGCAAATGTCTTCTTCTCCCCTTTCAGCATCTCTTCAGCCCTGGCTATGGTGTTGCTGGGGGCCAGGGGCAACACAGCCACACAGATGTCAGAGGTAAAATACACACACACAGAACAGAAGAACAGATTAACATTAATGGAAATGCAGGTTGGTGCTCCTGGTTCAGCTTGATTTTGTGAAGCTCATAACCTTAAATCTTTCTAAAATTTTATTATTTATTATTATTGCAGATTTCTTACCAGAAAATACACTCTATTAAAACACCACAAATTGTGTCTTCTGAAATGATTATTAAGATAACCCAGGACCTCTCTGAGACAATGTCAAGCTATGTCACTGAAGCTAGTAGTTTAGGAATGAAGGGCAGTGAAGTACTGCAGGCGTGGTGATGGTGCAATGGATAAGACACCTGTCTTTGGTGTGAGAGACCCGGGTTCAATTCGCCAATGTGTCCCTGAGCAAGACACTTAACCCCTAGTTGCTCCAGAGGCGTGCGACCTCAGACATGTATAGCAATTGTAAGTCGCTTTGGATAAAAGTGTCAGCTAAATGAATAAATGTAAATGTGTAAGGTTTTTTTCAGCATCAGCAAAAATGAAAAAACTATCTTGTGTTCTTTCTTTAATGGAAAAATTGACTATTGGTATCGACAATGTCAGTAATTTACCCAACAGTCCAGGAGTTGGCATGACTACCAATAGGAGTACCGGTTTAAAGCTCTTTGAACTAACAGTACCAGTCATTGGAGAGCTGCCCCCACCCTTGACCAGAGATGGCAACCGGAACAAAGTTCTTTTCACTTTCCCAACCAAAACAATCAATTGCCTGCCATGTAATGCTACAAGATGAAGTGATTTGCAGAACTGCTTTAGGTCCTGGAGGTGAGATGGTCGTGTACGTTCAAACTCAACCTCAGGTGGTGACGAAACCCGTCCCCAACCAGTACAGTCTTATCACAGCTTTGAGTCAGAGATTAAACAGCAGCTATCAAAAACATTCACTGACAATGGAGGTGAAGAAAGACACCGTCCGTGGAAGAAATCCAAAGCACTCATGGAAATCTGTAAAGATAAGAGAAACCTTTCTATTAAACAAAGGTAAAACTATGCTCTGCATCCTGCCTGGCTTACCCCACACAAAGTGCTTATCTTTACGGATTTCCATGAGTGGGTTGGCTACCCTGGAGGCTAGAAAGCAGTCACTGAAACCTGTCACCTTCCTGAACAGTCAACAGGTGAGGGAAGGATGAGTGTCTAACAGTTGCATCTCCTGGAGGATGGCAGTATTGAGGTC